CATTGGATTAATGAGGAAATTAAAGAAGAAATAAAAAAATATCTTGAGACATGATAATGAGGACATAACCTTCCATAATATATGGGACACAGAGAAAGCAGTATTAAGAGATAAGTATATAGCAATGCAGGCCCATATGAAGAAACAAGAAAGAACCTAAAGAAACAATCTAATCTACCTTCTCAAGGAAGTAGAAAAAGAGCAACTCCCACCCCTAAAAGCCAGTAGAAGACAGGGAATAATAAAAATTAAAGCAGAAATAAATGAAATAGAATGAAACTAAAAGGTTTTTTTTAAAAAAAAAAAAAACAACACAAAACAGGGCCTCCCCAGTGGCGCAGTGGTTGAGCACTGGGCTGCAAAGCTGCCCGCAGCCTCTGCAGCACGGTTTTAATCCCTGGCCACTGGCGAGGGTCCCACATGGAGCCCAGCCCTCTCCTGCCACGCCCGCTGCTCCCCTCAGCAGTGTATTTCATCGGTCTGCCTGTTCTCCTCCCCGCTCTGGCTCTGGTGAATTCTCTCACCCTCACGTGCTTCTTACTGTACCCACTGCTTGTATAAATAAATAAATAAATCTTAAAAAAAAAAAACCCAAAAAACAAAACAGACAAACCTCTAGCTAGGCTCACAAAGAAAAGTAGGAAGAAAACTCAAATAAATCAAATCATAAATGAAGAGTAGAAATTAAAACAAACACAGCAAAAATCCAGAGGATAGAAATTGCTATGAAAAGTTTACATGCAAACAAGTTCAATTATCTAGATGAGATGGACAAATTCTTAGAATTATACAGTCGTCCAAGGCTGAATAAAGAAGAAATAGAACACTTGAACAAATCAATTACAAGCAAGGAAATCAGAACAGTAGTCAAAACTCTCCCCCAAAACAAATGCTAACAGGCATATGAAAAAATGTTCAGCATCACTTATTATCAAGGAAATGCAAATCAAAACCACAATGAGATACTACCTCACACCTGTGAGAATAGCCCATATTGTTGAAAAAACAGTAACAACCAGTGCTGGTGAAGATAAGGTGAAAAAGAAACTCTTACATTGCCGATGGCAATGTAAACTGGTCCAGTCAATATGGAAAGCTGTGTGGAGCTTCCTGAAAACACTAAAAATGGATCTACCATAGGACCCAGCGTTTCCACTCATAGAAACATACCCAGAGGACATAAAAAGTGTCCTGTGTTTATAGTGGCACTGTTTATAAGAGCCAAGATATGGAAACAACCTAAATGCCCCACAGCAGATGAATGGATCAAGAAGATGTGGTACATATACACAATGGAAAACTGCTCAGAGGACAAAAAAATATAAAGGTATGCTATTTGTGGCAACATGGATGGAGCTGGAAGGGGTTATGCTAAGAGAAATAAGTCAGAAGGAAAAAAAGATAACTATCAGATAGTTTCACTTATATGTGGAATATAGAGAAACCAGACAAAGGGTTGGGAAAAACACAAAACTTGCATGGATCTGAGGCATGTAGGAAGGGAAGGGAAGGGATCAAATTGAGGAACAGAACCCAGTGATGGGTCACTGGTGTGGTGGTAGTGAGAGAACTATGGCAACTACACCTGAGCGGAGAAATCAGATACGGTCTAAAAATTAAAAGCGATGTAAGAAAAGGTACTTCAAAAAAGTTAAAAAATAGGCAAGTCCCTCTTTTCTCCTCTTGATAGTTTTTGTATGCAAAGTAAATTATTATTAAGAGTTTATTTTTTATCTTTAATAGAAAATTTTACTCTACTGGAATCGAATCAAAATACTGGTTTTTATTTTTTCCCCAGAGATGTTTTTGCTTTGCAGGTCTTTTGTATATCTAAATAAACTTCATGATTTTTTTGTTTTATTTCTATAAAAAAATGTTACTGGGATTTTGATAGAAATTTCATTGAATATGTACATTGTTTTAGGTAGTATATCCATCTTAATAATGTTATTTCTTCCAATACATGGACTTGGAATATCTTTCCATCTCTTTATGTCTTCTATTTGTTTCAATAATGTTTTATATTATTGTACATGTCTTTTACTTCTTTGGTTAAATTTATTCCAAGGTATTTATTCTTTTTTTTTATATGATGGCAAATGGGATTGTTTTCCTAATTTCTTTTTCTTCTCTGTTGGCTGCATATGTATTGATAATTGTTATATCTTCTTCCCTAACTTCAAACTAATACAAAATTATAATAATATAGAACGCTTGGTATTGGAATCAAACAGATCAGTGGAATAGAATTGAGAACCCAGAAGTAAAATCACACTCATATGGACAGCTTATTTATAACACAGAAGCCAGCATCTTAAAATGGAGCAAGGAAAATCTCTTCAATAAATGGTGCTGGGAAAACAAAAGAATGAAACTAGACCATCATCTAACACTATATACAAACTGTAGTTCGAAAATGAATTAAAGACAGTATTTGAAAAGACATTTGAACCCCCATATTTATTGCAACATTATTTATAATAGCCAAATGCTGGAAACATCTAAGTATATAGAGAGATGAATGGATAAAGATGTGATATATATACATACTGGAATACTATACAGCTGAAAAATGATGAAATCATGCCATTTGCAACAACATGGATGAAGTTGATTACTATGCTTAGTGAAGTAAACAGGGAGAAAAACAGTGCATTATTTCATTCATATATGGTATGTAGAGAAACCAAACAATTGAATACACTATATAAAACAAAAATAAACTTTTAGGTTATTTTTAAAAATCCGATTTTAGTTTTTAAAAATATAATTCAAGTGTATATGTAACAACAGCCCTTAAGCTCATTGAGTTACTTGAACAACTTTTATCAACTTCAGGGTATGCACATGGGTCATTATTTGGTTAATACTAATATATAACATGGTTACTTAAGCTCTCCTCCCTCACTACCAGTTGTCACAAGATACTGAATGTGACATGTTGCAGTAAAAAAGGATACTGCATTTGTAGACTCAGTATCTGTGGCATTAATAGGAATAGTTTAAATATTTGTAGATAAAATTATATGTGTGGGAGTTTCAAAAAATCTTGTGTGCGATTGTACATGCACATAGGCATGTATAAAGAAGCTGGTGGTAAGAGGATGATGGTGTAGATGAAATAAGATTGAACAGTAATATAATTATTGAAATGGGTTATGGCTCACTGAGTAAGGATTTGTTATACTGTTCTCTCATGTATTTTCCAAATTTTATATCATATTATTTTGTTTTAAAAAAATAAAAGTTTTTCCTACTAAAAGTTATAGCATAATTTAGAATCTATTTAAAATTTAATCTGTGTTGTTGACAAAAAGTCTTTGCAGCTTTATTTAGTTTGGAGTCATCAGTCAGATGTTGATTAGATTTTAGCTGGAATGTCAATAAAATTCTGGTGAGTTGTCTTAGTAAGATAAAGGCAGAAAGAGTTGTTTCCGAGAATCTGACAGTTAACCTTTCTAAAATTTTAGCAGCACACCATGATCTCTGGTCAGTTAAATTCTAATACAGAGCTTAGTGTTGAGTATGCCAAATCATTCTTCCCTGCCCTCTCAATATAGCTGAATATAATGTTGTATATATTGTGACAGGTAAAACTGTCATTTTATTTGGTATAAACTTTTTTTTTTAGATATTTATTTATTCGTGAATACAAGAACTGGGGCACAGGCCAGAGATGTTGGGGGATGTGTGCGTGAGAGGATTCACCAGAGACAGTGAGGAGCAGCACAGGCAGACTAACTGAAATACACTGCTGAGGGGAGCAGTGGGCGAGTCAGGAGAGGTCTGCTGCGCCGTGTGGGTAGCTCCCTGGCAGGAGATTGAACTCGTGCTGCAGTGGCTGAGGATATAGCTTCACAGGTTGTGTCTCAACCACTTGTGCCACCAGGGAGGCCCCTTGGTATAAACTTTTAATTTTGAAAAATCATCTTTGTTGATGCTAGTCTTTGGATATCCTATTGATTAAATAGAATTTTTGGAAATACTTGGAAATATTAGGGTTAATTACATAACACTGTTAATTATTTAGTTTTTCATGGCTGTTGAATTTACCTTGTGGGAAATAAATTGTTAAGTACCTGTCCTATAGAGAATATTACGTGGTATTTTTTCATTGTGCACAATTTTTTCATTGTGCATATGGTATAGCCATTAAGAAATACTAGGCAGGGCCTCCCCTGGTGGCGCAGGGGTTGAGTGCTGGGCTGCAAGGCTGCCTGCAGCCTCTGCAGCGCTGGTTCGTTCCCCCGCCACAGGTGAGGGTCCCACAAAAAAAAAAAAAAAAAAAAAAAAGAAATACTAGGCAAGCCTTTCTATACTCACATGGAAAGCTGTTCTGATACATTGTTACTTGAAAAACAAAACTTACAGCAGACTGTGATACATTTGTGTAAAGAAAAGCAAAGACAGGGGAGATAGAATGACACATAAATGTGTAGAGAGAGAGAGAGAGAGAGAGAGAGAGAGAGTGTGTGTGTGTTCGTGCTTATGTATACACAGAAATAGTCTTAGCATGTCTTAACATTATTGTTGGTAACTTCTGTACACAGCATGTGGACAGGGAATGTATGATGTTTTGAAATGGAGATGTTCAGGTTTTTTTTAACTTTTTAGGTTTTTTTGAACTGCTTTTTTTTGTTTAAAATTTAAAGATATAGTATTATAATGTGTCATTAAATTATTTTAGTTTTAGCCACATGTTTCTAATTTTTCCAGAATATACTATTGTAATAGTGGTAACATAGTTTCAAAATAAATTAAAGCTCTAATTAATAAACAAAAGGCAATCCATAAGAGAAAATGGGCACAGGAAAAGAACAATTCAGAAAGAAAACTCAGATTTCATTAAATGTATACAGAGCTATTTGTATCTGTAATTTGGAATATATCAATTGAAACAACAGCGAATTACTATTTCATACTTGTTATGTATTGTTTGCATAATAGATAGCCTGGTTTTACATAAAATGTCCTTTATCTAAATTGTGTTTCCTTTTCAGACAGCATGTTTTCGTGAAGAAAGAGATGTATTGGTGAATGGAGATAACAAATGGATTACAACTTTGCACTATGCATTCCAGGATGATAATAACTTAGTAAGACTCATTTTTGTTTCTATATCCTTATGAATTTTTTGTTGGATACAACATCATTATTTTCTTTCAAATATGATTTCCCCAATATATTTTATTTGTGGTGTTGTATTAATATTTAGAATTTGACATATTTATTCAAATGTGCCATGTGCTTCTTTCACTAGAGCCACATTTAAAATCTAGGGTACAGTGACTATACCTGGGAGGTAAATCATATACTGTCAAAACACTCACAAGGATGTAAAATAATGGTACTTAAAAAATAAAAATTTAAAATATAGGGTACATCTAACTTTGTATTGACATCATGAACCACTTGATAGAAGAAGTTAGGAAAGAGATTGGAGGTAAATAAAAATACTAGGAGCACTGAAGACTGAAAAGATAAGTGAATAGGAAAATAAGATGAAGTCTACCTATTCAAGGCTCTTCATTTTCTGATCCCAGTTTTTGTTTCAAGGTTTATTTTTTAGTATATATGTTGAGTTCCTGCTATGTATTAGATACTATACTCTGTACAGGGATATAAAAATTAATTACATTTTTCATTCATTTGCTATTCACTGGATATGTGCTATGTACTAGCTATTGATTTTTAGATTCTGGAAACACAATAGTGAACATGACAGGATTTCTCTTCTTAATGTTCTTATATTCTCATGAAGAGATTCAGGCGGTAAATCCAAACTCAAGTAAAATAATATTTCAGATTTTTTTAGGGGAAAAAATATGACATGTACTTTAAGACATGAAGTCACTGAAGACTCTTCTAAGGCAAATGTAAATTTTCTAAACCAAGAAGGGAGAAAAGGTGAAGAGAGCTTTGAGCAAAAGCATAGAGATTTGAAGCAGCTATTATAGTTATATTGATGGACGATAGCTAATAGACATGGTGAAGAGGGAGGTGAGATGTGCGAATCACATCATGTGCACCTTAAATGTTATGGTAAGGACACTAGGCTTTCACAATCTTGTTTTTCAAGAATCTTTTTTTTTTTTTTTTTTTTTTTGTCATGGAGCTCTTGTTCCATGTGTGTTAAATGACTCTACATATGAAAGCATAGACAATAAAGCATTTAGAAATAGAACTGCCCTGATTGATCTCTTAGCTTCCTCCTCCCAACTCCAGCTTCATGATTATTTGTGGGTCTTTTACAGAGTTAAGTTTGAAAACTGCTGTTTTAGGACCATACAAAGGATTGTGGCAGTCAAGGAGTAGAGTCATTTGAAAAATGAGAAGAGAGCTAGTGTGGTTAGTGGGTAGTAATAAAGGAGAGAGGTATAAAATGAGGTTTCCAAAGTATTGACAAGTGAGGAATTTGTATTCTAATTTCAAGCAGAATTTTAAGGAGCATGTGACCATCAATTTTATATTTTAAATAGAGCATCTTGGCAGTAATGTGGAGGATGGATTTTAGGACCATAACTAGAGGCAAGGAGATTGGTTGGTTAGTAGACTTGTACAATATTCAGGTGCTAGAACTTGAGTAAAGGTGATTAATGTCAAGGTTGGCATGAAGTTGGAGGGGATAGTTTTAGGTGCCCTGTAGGAAGTAAAGTAGTTAGAGCTTTATGTGTTTGTGTGGATGCCAGTGGAGGAGAATGATTGAGTTTTCTACTAGTGACTATATTGTGGATTCAGTGGTTAATAATTGATAAATTGATCGGGGAATATAGGAGAAAGAAAATTTAGAGTAGAGGAGGAAATCGGTTAGTTTAAGTTAGTATATTTTGGCTTTGAATTGTCATGTAATCTATTCAGTGGATTGATAAGTAATTCCTGTGCTTCTGAGAACAAATAACACTACCTATCTTGCATTCTTATCCATAAGATCAAATTTCATCGAACTCTGGCCTGCATCTTGAATCTGACCCACTACCTGTTTTTGTACAGCCTGCAAGCCCAGAATGATTATTACATTTTTAAATAGTTGAAAAAAAATCAAAAGAAAAATATTTGTGACATGTGCCTATTATGTAAAATTTCAGTGTCTACAATATTTCATTAGAGTATAGGCATGTCCACTGATTTATGTATAATCTCTACTGTTGTGTTACTCTGGCAGAGTTGACTACTTGTGATGGAATCTGGCATTGTGGCAGTGTATAACGCACTGCATGTTACTGTCACCACTGCACTGCTGCTCAGCACACTTCAAATTGCAATGATAGTGATAACTTGGTAGCATTTTGAGTACTATGCATATTGTTATACTGTGATTTTATTATTAATAGTGAATATTGTCAAAATAATGAAAAAAGACTCATGCTTTTAAGGCATAAGTGTTATTCTGTTGACAAATAAATGTGAAAATTCATATGTGACTTTTTACTCTCCCCAAACTTGACTTTTTTTAAAAAATGATTTTTATTTATTTATGCATATAAGAACCGAGGTACAGGCGAGAGGTGCGGTGGGTGAGAGGATTAACCACAGAGTGGGGAACAGAATAGGCAGATCTATGGAAGTACACTGCTGAGGGGAGCAGTGGGAGAGTCAGGAGAGGTCTGCTGCACCATGTGGGTAGCTCCCTGGCTGGGGATCGAACTGGTGCTGCAGTGGCTGCGGATAGCTTCATAGGTTGTGTCTTTTGTAGTTAAATGTGTTTCCTGGAGACAGCAAAAGGTTGGGTTTTGTTTCTTAATCCAGCCTATCTCTTTGTTTTTTTATTGAAGAGCTTAGTCTGTTTACATTTAGAGTTAACGTTGATACATTAGTGTCTGTATTTGCCATTTTGTTTGTCTTTCCTGTGGTTTTATTTTTTGTCTTGTTTTGTTCTTTTTTTTAAAATTTTTTTTGAAATGAGTAGTTAAATGTTTTCTATTTTTTTAATATTTAGTACAATATATTTTATTTATGTATGTATGTATGTATGTATATATTTATTTATTTATGCAAGCATTGGATACAGTCAGAAGGTGGGGAGGGTGAGAGAATTCACCAGAGCCAGAGGGGAGAGCAGAGCAGGCAGACTGACAAAATACACTGCTGAGGGGAGCAGCGGGCTGCAGGAGAGGTCTGCATGCCATGTGGGACCCTCGCCCAGTGGCCGGAGATTGAACTGGTGCTGCAGAGGCTGCGGGTAGCTTTGCAGCCCAGCGCTCAACCGCTGAGCCACCGGGGAGGCCCTCTTGTTTTGTTCTTATTCATCCCTCTGTTGGTTCTAGCTTTAGGACTTCTTGTAGTATTTTTTGGAGTAGGAGTTTAGTCATAATGAAGTTCCGGAGTTTCTGTTTGTCTGGAAAGGTCCTTATTCTTTTCTTCATAGAGGAAGGAAAGCTTTGTGGGATAAAGTATTCTTGGCTGGCATTTGTTGTCTTGGAGTTTGTTGACTATGTCCCTCCACTCTCTCCTTGCCCGTACTGCTTCTTCAAAGAAGTCTGAAGTCAGCCTGATTGGTTTTCCTTTGTATGTTATCTGTTTCTTCCCTCTTGTCAGCTTCATTATTTTTTCCTTGTCTTGGATTCTTGGGAGCTTTACTATTATGTGTCTTGCTGTATTTTTTCTTTCACCATGGAAGTTTGGTGTTCTTCCTGCTTATTGTATGTCTATTTTCAGCTCTTTCGTCATCCTTGGGAAGTTCTCTTCGATTGGGATTCCTGTAACTCTTATATTTCCTTTCCTCCTTTACTTTCCTCAAATAGTTCCCGAAGTCTTTCTTCATTCTTTTTCCTTCATATTTCTCTTTCCTTTTTTGTTTTAGTTCTTTTTATTTCTGTGTCTTTGAGAGTACTTATTCATTCTTCCATTTCATCTATTCTGCTTTTACTGCTTTTCCCAGAGTTCTTTAGCTCCTCCATTAATCCTTTGCTCTCTTGCATTTCTTTCACCTCCCTCTTTAGGGACTCAATTTCATTCTTCTGATTGTTGATTATTTTTCCCTTATCATGGTTTTCCTTTATGACTTCTTTCAGTTTTTTAATCACGGCAATTTTAAATTCTCTATCTGGAAGGCTCAGAAGTTCTTCCACGTCACTGTTGTTGCAATCTGGTGGTTGATTTTCTTTTTGTGGTGTGTTTTTTCCTTGAGGACTTGCTTGGTTGCTTGTAGTTTTTCTCCTCCCTGCTGCTTGTTTTCTAATTTGTCCTATGTGTGAGGACACTGTGTCACTGGTACTGGCTGGCATCTCTTTGATGTGCTTCTTCTGGGATGTCAGAAACTGGTGGCCCAATTGAGTCCAGTACTGTTATGCCAGAAGTCCAGTAGGGCAGTGGTACTATGGATATGTTAATGGGTACTGTCCCTGAAAACCCCCTCCCTCTGTATTTATTTAATTCCAGAGGTGGGTCTTGAGGTCCCTCAGACTACATCATTTTTTGTAAGAAAACAATACACAAGGTGTAGGGAACCAGCTCCAAGCTTGCCCAGGGTCATGATGCCCTTAGACAAGAGAACAGTGAGGAAGCCCTGGCAGGGTTCACAAGTCTTTATGAAAACAGTAGGAGACAAGATACAAGCAGCAGCAGTATTTGTAGCATTTACAGCATTGGCAGCCACCTTGGGTAGCCTTGGGCATCCGGTAGTGGCAGCTACATCAGCAGCAGTAGCAGCAGCAGCAGCAGCAGCAATGGCAGCAGTCAGGGGCTGCAGTGGCAACTCCCCTGGGCTCTGGCAGTAGGGTTTCCTTCTCATCCCTAGGAATCCTATTAGCTTTTCTATGATTTATTGGCAAAGCCAGCATAGGGTCAAATTTATGCCTAGGTTACCAAAGTATGTTTCACACATGCAAACTATACATCAAGTTTACATTATTATTTACTGCTTTCCACACCTGTGGACTACATCTCAAGGCTACATGTTACCTACTAGTCCACCTCTGCTGGCAGGTCGTGGCAAAAAACAATGTGAGAAAACTGGTTTTTCACTTGCCCAACAAAGTGGATCCTCACCATTCAATAATCAACTGTACTTTTCTTCTGACATTATATTAGTGGGTTTTCCCACTAATTAGAGGGTTTTTCATCAAGCAGTTCTGTGACTCCAGCTGGTGTCCTACAATTTAACTCAGTTCTGACACTTGTCTTCCTGGAGATGGCATCAGATCCCACAGATTTTCAGCCTAACAAGACTGCTATCCATCCTTTGCAAGTCCAGGTTGTTACTTGTGCTTCTGATGGGCATTTCTCAGGTTTTGTTGATTTGCTAGAGCAGTTCCCGGAAATGAGGAGCAGCTTAAAGGAAGAGAAGCATAGAGGTGTGAGAAAAGGGATGAGAGGCTTCCATGCCTCCCTGAGCACACCCAGCACTTCATGTGTTCACCATCCAGAAGAGCTCTGAGCACCATCCTGTTGGGTTTTTATGAAGGTTTCTCATTACATAGGCATGAGTGATGAAATCATTGGCCACAGATGATTGACAAGACCCTTTCTCTTCACAGGAGTTGGGGACTGGGACTGAAATGTCCAACCCTCTCTCTTGGTTAGTTCCCTGACTAACCCCCTTCCTTAGGTCCTTAGAGACTTTTCATAAGTAACTATTAACACAAACACAGTTGTGGTTGAATGGGTCTTAAATAAATAACAAAAGACACATTTATCTTATTTCGAAATTCCAGACATTTATAGGAGCTCTGTGCCAGTTTAGGGATGGAGGGATTTCTTACTGTAAATCACAGTATTATACACACCTCCACATATCCATGAAGTTCCCTAGATAAAATTATATGGCATCTGTTTATATATATACACCTAAGAAAAGTGCATTCTGATATTTGTACACTTTCAGAAAGGAAGAGAAGTGTATTTATGGTGGGAATTACTATATTCTATGTAATACTGGCTTCCAAATGCTGATGCAAGTGCTGGTTTTAATAAAGTCCAAAGTAAAAATGTAATTAAGGTGATGATGAATTTATTCTAATGGACTGTTTTATAGTCTTGAGGGTTTTTTAAAAATCCTTTTTATTTTTTTGGAGAATTAAAATGTTCATCCATCTATGTTGATAGACCTGTCAGTTATTACAGGTGGTGGTGATGCTTGCAGGGTAAGTGAATTAATCAGGCTTTTTACGCCACCAGCTTCTGTGGCTATCACCTGTGGCCTTGATCCTTTTTTTTTTTTTTCCCTTTTATTTATTTTTTTTTAATCTTAAATTTTTTTATTTTTATATTCCCCCATACAATTGCAAACGCCCCATTCTGACCCCAATCCTTCCCCTCCCGCCCCCCACCCCCCAAAAAGTGTCTCTGGTTCATAGTTTTTTGTTGATTTTGATTTTCACTTTCTTATATTCATTTTCCTGGTCCCTTATTTAAGTTTTCTAGATTCCTGCTATGAGTGAGACCATCCGGTATTTTTCTTTTTCTTTTTGGCTTATTTCGCTGAGCATGATCCCTTCCAGCGCCATCCATGTTGCTGCAAATTGCATGTGTTTATCTTTTTTGAATGCTGAGTAATATTCCATGGTATATATGTACCACATCTTCTTGATCCAGTCATCTACTTTTGGGCATTTGGGTTGTTTCCAAAGCTTAGCTATTGTAAACAGTGCTGCTATAAACATAGGGGTGCAGGTGCTCTTTGGAATTGATGTTTCTGTGTCCTTTGGGTAAATCCTTTTAATGTAGAAGGTGCAGGGCATGAGTGCCTAATTGTGGACACCTGCAGTGTGGGTTCGTGCCCTTGTGTCTGTGCTCCCCTGAGCCTAGAGGCTAGGCTGAAAACAGCAGCAGTGACAGGGGTGGCAGAGAGAGAATGAGCGTGTGACTACAGAAGAGGTGAGACCTGGAAAGAACACATGAGAAAACGCCTAAAGATTCTCAGGGGGCTGGGAGGCTCCAGGCCCCCCTGCCTTGCAGCCTGTGGGTTTGCCACTACAATGATGATCATTGTTACTGTTCTATATTATTACTTGCAAAATACAGTAACAGTTTTAACCTTATGTTGTTCCTGCCCCAGTGTTAAAAAATGGAATTTTACTTGTTTGCGAAGTTTACAAGTCTTATAATAATAGCCAATGATCATTTTACACAGATTCTATTAACAGTAATGTTATTTGATCCATGCAGTTTGATCTTGGGTTTATATATATATATATATATATATATATATATATACACACACATTTTTAAAGATTTATTTATATAAGAACCAGGGTACAGGCCAGATGTGCAGGAGGGTGAGAGGATTCACCAAATACAGATGGGGGACAGAACAGGCAGACTGACTGAAATACACTGCTGAGGGGAGCAGTGGACTCGCCATGTGGATATCTCCATGACCGGCGGGAATCAAACCGGCACTGCGAGGCTGCGGACAGCTTCACAGAGCTGTGTTCAACCGCCTGCGCCACCAGGGTTATATTAATACATGAATTTTCACCCTTAGTATATTTGTTGAGTACATTTTATTTTTCATTCCCAGTACCTGGTTATGGATTATTATGTTGGTGGAGATTTGCTTACTCTGCTCAGCAAATTTGAAGATCGATTGCCTGAAGATATGGCTCGATTTTACTTGGCTGAGATGGTGATAGCAATTGACTCGGTTCATCAACTGCATTATGTTCACAGGTGAGTGAGACACTCCTTCACTGCCTCTAACTGAAGCTGTCATGTACTCTGGACAAGGTCTGTTAGTACCAAATTAGTTAATTATGATCTTAGACATATTTCTCATAAACTAAGATAATTTCTTTTGAGATGGCTTTAGTTATTTTCTTTGTTGTTATTGTTATTACTTGTCAGCTTTAAAGAACTGATCAGTGCCGGCTTATTCATTTATGTATATGTACAGTATCTAAATGTTTTCTTATCCAGCCAGTATTTTTACAGAATACTCCTAAGAAAACACTCTTATTTAAATTTACAGATAATTTCCTTCTCAAAAAAAAAGTATGCACTGACCAGTTTCTCTGTAATAGTCATATGTTGATATTATCCAGAATTCTAGACCATAGCTAGTAGGTTCATTTGCTAATAAGACCCATATTATGCATTTTTGTTTCTCAAATAAATACTTTCAGGGTTTGTATAAGTGTAAAAAGAGATATTTTTGTAGGAAAGTGATAATTTTGATGATCATGGAAAAATTTCTTAATTGTAAGCTGTTTGGCAGGTACAATGATTTATTTAAATTTTTCCTACAAATATGTGTTATATTGTATACAGTTTAAGATGGAATGATAAGAAAAAAGTGGGCCTATTTACAAATTGATTTTTATATAGAATTGTTATATCTGTTAACATGTGAAAAATCTTTCATTGTAAGCAATTTATAATTTTTGTGTAATAAAAACTTTAAAAGCATTGGATGGTTTAAAGGGCAGACTCACATTTTGAAAGAAAAGAAAGTAGGAAATTATCATAATGTTACTGGTGAATTAGTTATGCAAATGATAAAATTTGGTGTTGTGCAAAATGTGAGGAAAGTAAAGGTATGCTAAGGAGAAGTACGTAAGGATGCTGCCAGATTAGCAAGAAACTAAACCGTTTGTTCAGTAGTTTGCAAACTTTAGCAGGCATCACAATCACATGTTGGGACTGTTGGGTTAACTCCTGGGTTTCTGAGTCAGTTGGTTGGATGGGGCTCTCAGGAATTGGCATTTCTTAAACTTTCCCGGTGATGCTCCTGCTGTTGCTGGTGATGGTGGTCCAGTGACCATACTTTGAGAACCACTGCTCTCAGACAGCAGTGACTGCTTCATTTAAATTGTGGGTAGTAAGGGTAATTTCTGTGTGAAGAAGAGAAAGTTTCTTTTTCAATATTTGCTTTTTAAAGTTCTGGGTGTCTTAAGCGGATTGATTTAATTAATAACGAAGTTCTAGGACATCATTAATGGGAGAATATTTTGACTAAGAACTTTGTATTTATTCTATCCCATGTTTACTCTGCCTAATAATATGCTTTTCTCTGTTCACATCTGACAGTCACACATTTTATTGAAAATAAAACACACATACTTTGAACATTATAAAACACAATGTAGATTTAAAGATGGTATTGTGGTCTCAAGAGTGAATCATATGATGAGTAAACAAAGTGCTCTTTTGTTGTTGTTGTTGCTCAAAACAGTAACTTAAGATCCTAGCTGAAGACTGGGATTTAAATATACTTTAAAAAAGTGAAGTAATTGAAGAGAAGAATGTTAGTCTTAAACTTGTGAGGTTTAGAGAAGCTTATCCCAGTTCCTATCTCAATTCTTGACAAGGAACAATTATTTCTAAAAATAATTCATCTAGTTTGGAGATAGTAAATCAAGGCATTTGTGTTACCCTTTCTTCTGCCAGGCTTGTGAAAAGTGTTCTTATCACCAGATCCTTTCACACCTATTATAAATGCAGTCTTATAATCCATCACAATGGACAGAGATATGGCATGAACAAATTCTAATATAATTATTGACCTTAGAGATAAATTCTTTGGAGACAAAAGAAGCAAGTGAAGTACAGGGAAAAGAAAACAGTTTATCACTAGACTTTTCAACAGTAACACTTTAATGTATGTTAAGCATTTATGATATCCAAGAAAAGAAAATATGAGCATATTTGACTTTGTGGTATTGTAGGGTAAGGAGAAACATCAGGGTTTTCTGCCCTCCCACCATTAGGATAGATGGTGGATCCTTGCGGTCCTGAATGCATGCCTGATGGCGGGCACCTGGAGTAGGGTGTGGGCATAGGTGGATGGGATTCACCTGGGCTAAGACTGTGCTTTTTTTTTTTTTTTTTAAATAAATTTTATTTTTATATTCCCCATACAATTGCAACCCCCTTATTTTGACCCCAATCCCTCCCCTCCCCGCTCCCCATCCCCCATAGAATGTCTCTGGTTCATAGCTGTTTGTTGATTTTGATTTTCACTTTCTTATAGTTATTCATTTTCCTGGTCCCTTATTTAAGTTTTCTAGATCCCTGCTATGAGTGAGACCATCCGGTATTTTTCTTTTTCTTTCTGGCTTATTTCGCTGAGCATGATCCCTTCCAGCGCCATCCATGTTGCTGCAAATTGCATGTGTTCATCTTTTTTGAATGCTGAGTAATATTCCATGGTGTATATGTACCACATCTTCTTGATCCAGTCATCTATTTTGGGGCATTTGGGTTGTTTCCAAAGCTTAGCTATTGTAAACAGTGCTGCTATAAACATAGGGTGGCGTCACGGGGACGCCAGTAGAAGCCGAGAAAGAGAAGCCGAAAGAGAAGCCGAGAGAGAAGCAAAGAAGCAGAAGCAGAGATCACCGGAGAGCCCAGATAGAGTGAGGATTTGCTGGGGGCTGGGAGGCCTGCCAGCCTCCCGGCCCCCCCAGCACCCTTGCCTGCTGTGTACTGGGTAAACCCCAATAAAAACCTGCAAAAGCCACTGAGGGCTCCAGGACTCCTCCTTTACCTGGTCTGCTTGATCAGAAAACCTGCAATGTGTCCATTCCTGCCTTACAATTGGTGTAAGTCGGCAAGATGATCCATGCAGACGGGTATGGAGCCCTCCGAAGACCTGGAGGGACTAAGGAGTAACAGACTTTGCCTGTGACAACGCTGGAGGCACCAGGGCGGCACAGATGGACGAGGTCCAGGAGCTACAGGACGAGGTCCAGGAGCTACAGGATGAGACCTCGCGTGAAGGAGACGCCCGAGAGGAGCATCCAACGACCCCTTAGGCAGCAGAATCATCGGGGAAGAGAGAACCACGATTTGGAGCTCGCCAGTGCTGTTGCAGGGAGAGGCCAACAGACTTGGACTAATGGACTTGGACTGACAATCCCGCCAGAAGGCGGAGGATCTTTGGCAAGTTAATGTTGTTTTGGGACCCTGGGGGAGAATGCTATTGTTTGTACACCCCAGGAAATGGGAATCTGGGGGTGGCCAGTAGGCCGTGATGGCCAGAAGCAACCTGTCTATGCCCAACAGTTAGGCGAAGGAGAAAAGCCAACTGAGAAGGCAAAAAGCTGGTACTGATGCTAAGTTTGGGAAGCCCTGAGTGGCTGTTAAGCACTAAGTAAGCTGAGGAAGGCCAGTGAGTCTCGTAAAATCACCTGTGGGTGATGCCCTGCTTGTTGTCGAGTGAGGGTGAGGAGCTGAGGAACCCGTCCTTGGGGGACGGGTGGGGAATGTGGCTTGGGGTGGAGCCCAAGCCGAATGTAGAGTTTGTATCCAAGGATCCCCGACCCATGTGCTTGCGCAGTGGTTGGCCTGAGTGCAGGGATCTGCGAGTCGCATTGGTGGCTATGAAAGCCGAGTGTTGGAGCGACAGCAGACAGAAACCCTGAGGATTGGCGATTACCCCCAACAGTAGAAAAGAATCGCCAACCCCAGAGTGCGTGCATCTTGGGGGTGAATGCGGTGTGTGGCTTGTAGCCGAGACTACAGCCAGAGAAGGCCAGGAAGCCTGATGGCTCCTGGTGTGTTGCGGTAGATACCGTGAGTGATTCCCCTCCCTCGTATGAGCAGTGCCTTCGGCAGCAGATTTGGTGGCTCATCTGCTGGTACCAATAATTGTCTTTTGCCACTAGGTTGGGGCCTTGTCTGGACTTATTAGTGTTCTGTTGTATTTTGTTGTTATATTGTGATGTATTTGCTTTTGTGGGCCATGGCTGCAGTGTTTATGTTTGCTAAGAAAATTGTGTATATGAAGACTATATGGCAGAAAACCCTGAGGGGGTGGACTGTAGGGTAAGAAAAAATGCCAGGCTTTTCTGCCCTCCCACCATCAGGATAGATGGTGGGATCCTTATGGTCCTGAATGCATGCCTGATGGCGGGCACCTGGAATAGGGTGTGGCCATAGGTAGATGGGATTCACCTGGGCTGAGACTGTTCTTTTAAGGGCGGCGTCGCGGGCATGCCAGTAGAATCCGAGAAAGAGAAACCGAGAGAGAAGCAAAGAAGTAGAGATCACCGGAGAGCCCAGATAGAGTGAGGATTTGCAAAAGCCACTGAGGGCTCCAGGACTCCTCCTTTACCTGGTCTGCTGGATCAGAAAACCTGCACTGTGTCCATTCCTGCCCTACAGGTATAAAGACCACTTGGAAGTGTTATTGCAACATTATGCCCATGATTTCTTCCTGAAGAAGCTAGTCATCTATTAGAGAGTGAGCTACAGACAACTAAAATGACCAGAGAGACAGAAGCTGAATACTTGTATCCTACTGTGAAATGAACAAGTAATTATGGAATTTTCTGATTCTATTATCCTCATCATAGAATCTGTCCTTAAGAATCAGCCTTTTTTGGTATAGAGAAAAGGAGATGTAGATGTAATATAGAGGAGGATAACCAAAAATACTACTTCTGAATTTGGATTGGAAATACTGATATAAACTTCCAAGGTATTTTATCTTACATGTACATACACATACATGCAGATATACACCTCAGCGTGGTGAGGATTATACACAGTGACCAATGCAGTAGCAATGAGTATCCCTACTGTGACAGATTATATCCTCAAATACCAGTTCCTACTAAGGGATACAAATGGGTTACTTGGAGAAATGACTAACTCCAGATCCAGTTAAGACTTGTACAGGATGAACCCTGTATCTATTAAGCCAAATAGCAAGTAAGCTTTCAGAGAAT